TACAACCGCACCGCGGCGACTTGTCGCAGGCGACCACCGAGTGCTACACGGACATCGCGGACGAGAGTGCGGTGCGCCGCTGCCTTACCGCCCCGTGGGTGCTCCCATTCAAGCACTTGAATGACGCACCTGCTCCCCGGCGGCACAGGGCGTTCGCGCGGTCACTGTCACGTCTCGGCCCGTCCTCGACATCGACCCGACCGCCCTCATCGCCGCTCCAGTCGACCCGGCGTTCGACCCGGCCATGTCTCACTGCGTGAGAAGCCATACGCGGCGCTCTTCGGGCTCGCCGCATCGAGGACGGGCTCTCAGCTCTCATGAAGGGCGGCGGGCCGTGTCCGGAGAAGGTGCCGGCCGCGGCGCCCTCGCCCCTCCCTCCCCCTCCGCCCGCCCGCCTTCCCGCCTGCCTCCACAGCCCTTTTCGTTCGCGCGCAGGCCCGCGTCGCCATCTCCGGAAGCCGGCAGCCCACTTCACCGTCGCCTCCTCGGTCGCTGCCGCTTCCCTCGCAGTACGAGGTCGGCGTACCGTCTGCGCGCACCTGCTCGAAGGCCTACAACCGCACCGCGGCGGCTTGTCGCAGGCGACCACCGAGTGCTACACGGACATCGCGGACGAGAGTGCGGTGCGCCGCTGCGTTACCGCCCCGTGGGTGCCTCCCATTCAAGCACTTGAATGACGCACCGGCTCCCCGGCGGCACAGGGCGTTCGCGCGGTCACTGTCACGTCTCGGCCGCCCCGTCCTCGACATCGACCCGACCGCCGTCATCGCCGCTCCAGTCGACGCGGCGTTCGACCCGGCCATGTCTCACTGCGTGAGAAGCCCTACGCGGCGCTCTTCGGGCTCGCCGCATCGACGACGGGCTCTCAGCTCTCATGAAGGGCGGCGGGCCGTGTCCGGAGAAGGTGCCGGCCGCGGCGCCCTCGCCCCTCCCTCCCCCCACCCCCCCCTTTCCCCCCTCCAGATCGCCCCCCCCCCTCCGCCCGCCCGCCTTCCCGCCTGCCTCCACCCTTCTCCTCGCCCTCGCGCAGGCCCGCGTCGCCATCTCCGGCATGCCGGCAGCCCACTTCACCGTCGCCTCCTCGGTCGCTGCCGCTTCCCTCGCAGTACGAGGTCGGCGTACCGTCTGCGCATACCTGCTCGAAGGCCTACAACCGCACCGCGGCGGCTTGTCGCAGGCGACCACCGAGTGCTACACGGACATCGCGGACGAGAGTGCGGTGCGCCGCTGCGTTACCGCCCCGTGGGTGCCTCCCATTCAAGCACTTGAATGACGCACCTGCTCCCCGGCGGCACAGGGCGTTCGCGCTGTCACTGTCACGTCTCGGCCCGTCCTCGACATCGACCCGACCGCCGTCATCGCCGCTCCAGTCGACCCGGCGTTCGACCCGGCCATTGTGTGCGCGAGAAGCCCTACGCGGCGCTCATCGGGCTCGCCGCATCGAGGACGGGCTCTCAGCTCTCATGAAGGGCGGCGGGCCGTGTCCGGAGAAGGTGCCGGCCGCGGTGCCCTCGCCCCTCCCTCCCCCCACCCCCCCTTTCCCCCCTCCAGATCGTCCCCCCCCCCTCCGCCCGCCCGCCTTCCCGCCTGCCTCCACCCTTCTCCTCGCCCTCGCGCAGGCCCGCGTCGCCATCTCCGGCATGCCGGCAGCCCACTTCACCGTCGCCTCCTCGGTCGCTGCCGCTTCCCTCGCAGTACGAGGTCGGCGTACCGTGTGCGCGTACCTGCTCGAAGGCCTACAACCGCACCGCGGCGGCTTGTCGCAGGCGACCACCGAGTGCTACACGGACATCGCGGACGAGAGTGCGGTGCGCCGCTGCGTTACCGCCCCGTGGGTGCCTCCCATTCAAGCACTTCAATGACGCACCGGCTCCCCGGCGGCACAGGGCGTTCGCGCGGTCACTGTCACGTCTCGGCCCGTCCTCGACATCGACCCGACCGCCGTCATCGCCGCTCCAGTCGACGCGGCGTTCGACCCGGCCATGTGTGCGCGAGAAGCCCTACGCGGCGCTCTTCGGGCTCGTCCCCGCATCGAGGACGGGCTCTCAGCTCTCATGAAGGGCGGCGGGCCGTGTCCGGAGAAGGTGCCGGCCGCGGCGCCCTCGCCCCTCCCTCCCCCCCCCCCTTTCCCCCCTGCAGATCGTCCCCCCCCCTCCGGCCGGCCGCCTTCCCGCCTGCCTCCACCCTTCTCCTCGCCCTCGCGCAGGCCCGCGTCGCCATCTCCGGCATGCCGGCAGCCCACTTCACCATCGCCTCCTCGGTCGCTGCCGCTTCCCTCGCAGTACGAGGTCGGCGTACCGTCTGCGCGTACCTGCTCGAAGGCCTACAACCGCACCGCGGCGGCTTGTCGCAGGCGACCACCGAGTGCTACACGGACATCGCGGACGAGAGTGCGGTGCGCCCCTGCGTTACCGCCCCGTGGGTGCCTCCCATTCAAGCACTTGAATGACGCACCGGCTCCCCGGCGGCACAGGGCGTTCGCGCGGTCACTGTCACGTCTCGGCCCGTCCTCGACATCGACCCGACCGCCGTCATCGCCGCTCCAAAAAAAAATTGCTAACGCGAAAAACCGGCACACCAATCTCCCTTCCTCTCCCTATCCTTTCTTGGAGCTCTAGAGTCCACACCCCCCTGCCCCGGGATCGCGTACAAGCTGAGGCTACCGTAGGCCACACTAGCGTCGCTGGGGGTTCCCTGCCCTAGATGGGAAGCTGGCCGCTGATCCGAAGACCGACTGCACCAGGGCGCCTAGATATACTCAAGGTGAGCGAGGGTGAAGTTACGCCTTAAATGCCTGTCTCTCTACTGTGGACCTTACTCCGAGCTCGACGGCTCCTCCTATTCCCCCACCCCCCCTCCCCCCCCACTCTCTCCGAGTAAGGGCGTGCGCTACGTCCCCAAGGGGGGGGGGACGTGGGGGGGAGGTGTGACTTTTGGGTTGTGGCGTTTGGGTTTTTGTGGGGCACCCAAACGGTTTCGGTTTTCCTCCTTGGTGCCCCGAGTAGAGCGCGATACCCTCTTCTAACTTTTCTTCATATCTGGGGCCTCCGGCGCCAGTGCGAAGTCTAGTCGCCTACGGGCACGCCCTCCGGGCATACTCCGAACTCCCACACGACAACACACGCGCGGCCGGCGCCTCTCATGCCCTTCTCCACGCACACCGCGTGAAAACTGCGCGTACGTCCCCGCGCGCACGCAAACACGCGCAGCGCCATTTCAGAGCTGTGCCATGTGCGTCTGCCCTGTGCTGGCGCCCCATGGCCGTCCCGCGCCGCCCGCACCAGCTGCGCGCCCCTCGCACCACCAGAGCAAGCCGCACATCCACTCACGCCGCGACGC